AAATGACAAACACAGGCTGTATTTATAAGGATGTCATTTACTTCACTTTTTATTAAAATCACCAGCTACAAAATTGACGTTTTGCACATACTAGTCTTAAATAAGCAACTATGAGAAAATTACATTAGTCCTGAAATGAAACAATTATATTGTGCACCTGGGATGTGACAAGGGGTCAGAAACAACAGAAAAAATATGGAGATTAGATAAGGTACTCACATCACACTGGAAGGTTAACCTATACCTTTGAAGAAATTAGTGCGCATGTTGATCAGAAATCTATTTTCTACAAACATATGAAAAAAGTTCCAGTTTGCTCTCAATTAAAAACATTATAGTCACTAATGCTACAGAAAGGAACTGTGTTACTTCAGACTGACATGTGCCATAACTGTCACAGTATCTGGAAACAGAAAAATGCACTAAGAACACAGAGAGAAACAAGACAGTAACACTTTTTTTGATACTGGTGGTGTCACAAAACACCATGGATCAAATTCTTAGCTAATGAAAGGTGCCACAGCTTCTCCATGAACCAAAAATCAAGTTTTCATTGATAATCTGGACCGTAAACATAACATCCTGACACTGTATTCTGTCTTTCTCTCCAAGAGAAAAAAAAAAAAAAAAGAAGCAGTAACAGTTCTGTCTCACTCAAGAAGCAACAGCAATCATCCCATCCATCCAGTACCACTTGCATACTCTGCACTCCACCCAGAGTGACTGGGAGGCAAAAAATACCTTGCAGGCCCTGAATTTAATTATCCAAGATGATGATTGCTAGTAAAGCCAGAAGCACAAGGCAATAAATGTTTGATTTTTATATTTCTATCAACACAGGTTTGGCTTGAAGTCCAATGGATCACTATGATAGCACAAATATATTCTCTTTCAGGACACTGTTAAAGGCACCTGTCAGTTGCTTCAGGGTTACTCTTGCTCCTATCTACTGCTCTGATAGTGTGACCTCTTTGGTTATCATGACCTTGTTAAACTTTCCACACTATCATCTTGGAGATTGGAAGTAGGAATTTCACACAATGTTGGATCTAGTACAACCTAGCAAATGAAAACAAGGAAGTGTTGTTTAAAGACAGCTCTCAGGAGGACAGAAAACATTACAGCAGAAAGGTTCATATTGGTCAGCACTACCTCAAATACAGAATAAGAAGCAAACATCAAAACATTAAAGTAGGTGTTGATTACAAGGTGAAAGACATGGCTATTTGATTAGTTTGCTGCAAGAATTGCATACCAAGAAATAATTTTCAATCTTTATAAAATGGATCATTTTTATAGACTAAAACCAGATGAAAAGTATACTCTAATTCTTAACACAAAAAGACAAAGTGCAGAACTTAATTTTGCAACATAAGATTGACCAAAAAATGTTCAAGCTCTTCATATACTAAAATCACAGGAAGACCTTCTCTGATCACTACTACTGTAATTTTAGAGTCAAATTACAAATTATACACTGATAACATAAGATCAAGTAATCTCAAATCTATAGAATAATACAAACAGACAACGACAAATAAGTAATTTTGCTGTATTATTAATACATAATCAGCATGCATAAAAATACATAACTTTTGGGTAAAGATTTTTTTCTCTGTTATAATTTTAAAGTGCATCTAAAAGCTTCTAAATAAATCTTTACACTTTAAAAACAGAGGAAGGTGAACAGCAGTTCAGAAATGACAGGCAATTCCTGTTAACAAAGAGGTAAAATGTTCTAGGGGCTATTCCAATATTCTCAGCTCTGCTAAAGTGGTGCTGATATTTTGCGTGGGCAACACTGGCAAACACTGGCTGGACCCAATGACTGTATTTCATAGAATCATGAAATCCTGTAGGTTGGAAGGAACCTCAACAGGTCACCTAGTTCAACCTGCTCAAAGCAGGGTCAATATTGGTTACTCAGGGCTTTGTGCAGGAGGTTCCTGCAAACCTCCCAGGGTGATGACTGCACTGAGCCTTGTTCTATTGTCTGCCTGTGCTCACAGAGGAAAACCCAGGCAATCCACCTTGACGAACTGTTCATATAAGTTCACAATTTCTAGTCTTATCAGTTTAATTGCCAACAAAACTAAAATGTTGACAGAGTAGACAGAGTTTTAACTAGCATCTTAAGGCTCACTGAGCTAAATCCACTAACAGCAACTTCATAGGAATATTGCCTGCATATGTAAGTGACCAGTTTGAGCTAGACTCTGCACAGGCACCCAATAAATAGTTGCCTTCCCTGGGACACAGACACCATTTTCAGAAGCGCTCCCTTCCTGAGGAAACACTTCCCAGAATGGCAGCAATGGTGCACCAGCCTGCCCCCCAGGACTCATCAGCAAATACCTTCCTGTGAAGGGGTTTTCTACCTGCAAAGTTCTCAACATCAATCTGTAAAATGACACTTTCCAAAATACATGTCAAGCTTTTTACTACCTTTCACAAAATTGTGCCAGAATGCTGCTGCATTGCTCTCTCCGTAAATATCACACCTGAGCAGCACCTGATGCTGTGGAGCTTCAACTACAAGTCCTTAGCAAGAAGTTCAATTTCATCCAGCAAGAAGTCCATGTCCTCTCGGCTAACTTGCGGACTGATCACCACCTGACGGAAAAAGTTGACTTTGCCCTGGTGAGGCTGGTACCCAAGCATCATGCTGCCCTTCTTCATCATCCTCTCTTTAATTATAGGAGCAACCTGAAAGCAGAGACAACAAAAGGTTGATGTCACACTGAGAAACACAGCATATTTTGGCAGAAAATGTATTTTGTGACTCATAAAGTTTTATGAAGTGTCTGAGTTTTGCACCCCTTGCCTGTCTTCCCACTGCCTGTCCCAAGTAACAGCAAAGGTCAGGACTGCAGGTTTAGAGTCAGACTGTGCACTGACACCCTCAGGTTCTGAGACTCCTGAAAGAATAAGAGCAAGATCTAAAGCCCCAAGAGCCTGCTGCTTGAGGCATTCATCTGTGGCATGGGAAAGGCTGGGTTAAGGTTCTTAGTATTCCTGATTTAGATCAAAGGTTTGAACTCAGGAAGAACATCAGCCACAGCTGGTTAAAGGCAGGGTTAGTCTCTTTGTGCTAAGCATGACTTCTTGCCCTTGATGGCCCTTCTCCCACCACATCTGCAAAGCAGTTGTCCCTAGAGGACATTCTCCACTGAACCTCTGTGAAACTTAAGATGCCAAAGAAGTCAGTGTTGTGCAATATTAAGTGAGAAGGTCTGATCCTGGAGCTTGAGATTTCATCTCTAAGGTGTAAGCAGCATTTGGCTACACCACTCTTGTGCTGCATGGGATGAAATCTCATAAGTGTCTTACTGCAGAAAAAAAACACAAGTGAGACTGGCAGAGTCAGATCCTTATAGCTGAGCACTTGATCTCATCCCAACAGGGCTGTTAACTTTGACCAATTAATCTTGTGCTTAACGATAAGCATGTGAGTAGTTCTGCATACTCATGTTTGAAATTGGTCATAAGCTTAAATGCATTGCTGGATTAAGTACTGTATTCCTTGGAAGACAGAATTCAACACAAGTATTTTAACAGAAGCAATATTTTTAACAAGGTCTTGCATTTTAATATATTACTAGTAACATTAAGTTATTTCAGAATGGTGTGTTTCTTTCCTTCTTTTAATGACAGTTTGAACAAAGAAAACAGGTGTTAGCTCTAAAAGTTTGTGCCAGATACTACTGTCTGATTTGCAAAAGAAAAATGATGATGCTAACCTTACCTTAATAGCTTTATTCTTACATGGCATATTTTAGTTAGGCTAGTCCCATACAGTTTGCTTAGACAGAAACAGGTAAGGTTTCCAACGCTAACAGCCTAGCTTTCCCATACTTGTTTAGTGTTACATGTCTAAACTCCCATTGCTTCAAAATGCATATTGAATTCAGAGGAGTGTTTATGGTGCCAACTTAATTTACCTCTCTGATTTTGGTTTAACTTTATAATAAACCTAGGTTGCTTATTTAGTGTTTGCTTTTAAAACTACAAGAGTGATGGAGTCAAACTTCTAATTAAACTCCAGAGCGTGACATTAGCATAAATCGTTCTGCCTCAAGGTCACCATGAGCAGGTCACACCCTTGGTACCATAAAAGGCCACCACAGATGCTCATCCCAGCAGCACTGCTGCAGCAGGTGGGTCCAGCATGTGCCCATCATGCAGCAGTCATGCATGAATCACGTGACAACCACACGTCCAGCACATGTCCAGCACACACCCATCAAGCAACAAATACATGCTTGGTGCATGCCCATCACACTGCAATCACACACCTGGCACACACCCATCATGGGGCAATCACATGCCAATGACACTCCAGGCATGTGACAAACATGCACCCATCACATGGCAATCATGTACTGGGCATGTGGCGATCACATGCCCATCACACAGCAAACACGCCTGGCACAGCCCTGGATTCATTCACTACTGAATCCAATACAGAAAGAAAATCCTCATCCTTCACTTGTCATCCCCAACACATATTTCCAACATGGAAAGCCCATGCAGCCATAGGTGACTGTATGTGGGGTTGATGGCAGCCACTCCCATCCCCCTGCTTCCCCTTCCCTCCACCAGACAGACTTGCCTGAGCCAACACAGCAAAAATACCACCTCAGTGAACCAACCCAGCTCAGCCACCAACTGCAGCAGTGGCCAAGCCCCTGAAAACAGGCCATAGCAGCAGAGAAATAGCTGCCAGTTCCTCAGAACAGCTTCCCAACAGCCAATGGGCTTCTCTTACCTGCCAGAAACTAACATGAAAAAAGAGCACAGAGGTGACCTAGAATAGGATGGGCCTTTTCTACTTAGGAAAGGGCTTACAGTTACAAAACCAATGTGCCAAGGTGCAAACATTACTGTTCTGTAGCCACGTTACTGTTCTGTAACCAACAGGTGGAGGAGGACAGGTGCCTGGTTGCTGTGTGCTGGGTTTGTGATCGCTGCAGGATGGGTGCATGCCCAGCACGTGACTGCCACGTGATGGACGCATGGTGGGAGCATGACTATTGCATGATGGTTGCATGCTGAGTGTGTTCCAGGAGCATAACGGGCACATGATTGCTGTATGATGGACATATGGGTTGCACATGTTGGGCACATGGTTGTGTGTACCCATCGCATGTTTGCTGCGTGCTGCCCATGTGCTGCCCATGTGCTGGACTCACCTGCCACAGCAGTGTTAAGGGGATGAGTGCTTGCACTGGCACCATCCCAAGGACAGGGTTACCTCTCACAGTACCAAGGATGTGACCTGCTCATGGGGATCATGAGGCAGAACAAGAGAACTATCAAACCAGTGTTTTTTTGATTGGCTGGTTCTCTTCTAAATAAAAACTTGCATGTTCATTATTATTTCATATTTACCAAACTCTTTAAATTCATTTTTTCTTTCCTTCTGATAACTGTGTTACACTGTTAGCTTCTCTTCAGCTTTTGATCCTTGCTACCTCTCAGACTTTTTTATTAAACTGCTACCTGCACAGTTGTTCCTGAGGTTAAACAAGAGTGTAAAATTGAGGGAGTATCCTCAATTTTATCACCTTAGTCATTGATGAAAACATTGAATTGTATTTCAACCAGGACAGATCCGTGCAGCATCTTACTTTGTTTACTCATTCATTCTGTCCCAATGCTACTGAAATTCTTTTTTTTCCCATTGGTTACTTTTAAAAGTATTAATCTAGTTTGCTCGTGGGAATACTGTGCAAATCAATAACAAATTTAATTTATTTTAAAAAAATAGAATAAAATCGTCTCTGCTTCAGACCAAATATTCCGGACTGCACCCTCACCAGCCTGAAATAGCCGTGATGTTGTGACATTGTGCCCCAGAGAGGTGTTGTGCTGGGCACCATATACACACAGAAGAGAAAAAATTCCTCCACCTCTGTATTTGACAAGAACCACCAAGTGACTTCTGCTCATGGAATAAAGACACTACAACTGCAAGGGGAGAAGTGAATTCTTCTTAATATACTTTCTCAGACTGTTCTTTAAGATTCAAATCCCTATGGCGACTTTTAGCCTTTATTGATGTTCCATCAGAGTTATTTCATCTTTTGTATCACACTATTGATTCTCTTCATCTCAACACCTGGCGCTCCACAATTCATCATCCCAAAATGTGCAGTAGCACAAATGGAGACCATGAAAGCAAAAACATTTTCAGCTTCAGTAATTTGAGGACTGTAAATACACTGCATTTCAGTAGGTCTCTCATGGAAGGGAAAGGCAGATAAACCTCACTTTCATTATCTCATTTATTATCTCATTCATCCTCCACACTAATAACACTGTCCTCTTAATTTGAAGTGTGTCCACCCCTTTTGAAGTCAAAAAAACATATACTTTCCACTTCCCACTTTAAAGAAACAAAACACAAAACTGGCTTATGAGATTTCGACAGGATTATTTTGGAAAGATTTTCCATCAAGTATACTGCATGTTCTATTTGTTAAAGCAGTGCAGTCAGTGTAACAAAACTATCAGGAATCCTATCCATAGAAAGCAGCAAGGAACAGAAGTTATGCCCAAACCCTTAAGTACATGTCTTATGGAAGAACCATTAAATAATAAATGCATGCTAAGGCTTGGACTTGAGGAGCACAGGATATGACTGCTAATGCAAGGGAAAGGCAGCTACCATTTTGCAGCAGAAAAATTAGACCTATAAGAAACTAATTTACTAGTGAGGAGTTCAATGAGTTTAATTTCCACTGAAGTCAATGAGACCTGAGGATGCTCAAATATCAGAAAGAGCTGCACAGCCCCATTCAGGATAGGTTCCTCGGAAAGCAATTTAGTGAGAGTGAGATTGCTTCACCAGTCCAATTATTTTACTATGGAACTTACTTCAAATTGTAAATCTAATTCTTTATGTGGCCAGTCAGTGGAGCGGTCTCAGAATTTTAAGTGTAATACATCCTAAAACCTAAGTTCTCATCTCTCCTTTGCTCCCTTCACCTCTTCCTTCGCAACTGCTAGCCTCCCCTGCCAATCCATCCTGGAGGTTATTATATCAAACTCTCACTACAGCAGCATAATAGCTATCAGACAGGTCCTTCTTCCAAATAGGAAGGTGTGGAGGAGGTGCAGTGTGTGGAAGGCCATCCTGTAGCAGAGCTGCCCACACTGCACTGTGCAGGCAGAGACCCAGGGAACTGCTTTGCCTGAGCACATTGTGGGTGCATCCTCATCTCCCTGTGCAGACATAGACAGACGCTGTAACAGCTCATACTTCTCTTACTATGAATAGCAGAGGGTATTTTTTAAAATAGAGCAAAAATTACAGAGTAGTTTAGCTCCTTCTCTACCTATCTGAGTGACAGGATAATCTCTTCTCCCATTGTCAGCCAGCACTTAGCCACACTACGAACAATAGAAAGTTTTAGCCCTAAAGTTTAAGCTGTTTCTATCAAGAGTCCAGACCACAGCTGATCCTCATATATATTTACATCAAAGATGCCAGAATTCCTTCCCAGCGCATATACGCACACAGACCAGTGTGATAAGTAGCCAGGACCAGCTTGGACTCTACAGCTGAAGTATCTAGTGCACCAGGAGTACCAGGACAGCAATATATCTCCCTCTCCATATCTCAAGTATCCTTGAGAAGAGTGATGTTGAACAGTCATACCACAGGTCAATACTTTAAAACTACTGTGTTCCACTAATTGACT